TATGCAAACACTTATGTAAGAATGAAAATGTGCATTACTTTAGTGGTATCTTGTCTGAGGTTACTTAAATTGTTAATAATAATACCGTGGATATAAAAGTGGTTTTGTTAGAATTTAATTAACTTATCACAGTCTGCTTCTCCATTATAATAGATGTCGAGATGTGCTATATCCATACAAGTAATAGGCTACTTGGTTCCACTGTCAGGCATTGAATCATGGCACGCGCATCAACCTATGGGCCTTATTTTACTTACACATAAATATGTACATGACTATATCGCATTTTTGTCGATTGAAAGTGCTTACGGGGCCACCTCGAAGAACATTATTCTTCCTTTATTTATATCACACACTTCCACGATATTTGGTTGTAGATTAAACCACAGAGAATGTATTGCTGTGTGCTTTTTAACACCCTTTAAATATGGCCCGTTTGCAAATCGAAGTAAAACCAATTTCACCTGTTGGAAGGAGATTACCACTAAATACTATTGTACATCATGGTATTCATGTGTTATAAATAGAAAGATTCTTTACTTTTTTCATTTTTCAGGCTGCAGCAAATACTGCTCGCGCCGTAATGAGCAGACTTAGTGCACATGGTGTGAAACTGGCATTGCCTTCTCTTCTCAAGGTTATTGATGAAGATGGTTCTTGGCGTACTAAAGTCGGTAAGCTTAGATATTCCACTTACTATTCACGCATGCATTTTTATGTATATCAAATTATTTCCATCATTTCTGGAACGAAAGGGATCCATTTATTTGATTGTATAACATATGAATTATTTTTAATGCTGCAACTTTGCATCGGGCAGTCACACTCTCCGACTAAACTAAACTTGCTATTTTCGTATTGGAATAGAGTCATAAACTTGCTATTTTCGTATTGGAATAGAGTCATAAACTTGCTATACCTTTTTAAAAGGATATACAAGGTTGCTGTCTAAGCTCTTTATCCTAAGAAGGCTGCAGCTTCAAACTTAGCTGAAGTATTAAAAGGCAAGCATGCTAATTAATCTGGCCACTTCTTGACCGACTGGTTACTGAGTATTTTTAACTTTAAATGTAAAATACTACTGAACCGGGGAGATTAGAGACGGAGATTCAGATATGATCTGGCTGAAGAGGACTATAAGGTCAGTCTCGAATCAACACTCCTAACAAAGTGGAGGAATGAGGCAACCAGAGGGAGTGTGAATAGGTCTCACTAAATCCTCTGAAAAGGGCACATCTGAACTGGGCTTAAATAAACAATTAATAAAATGTGATAGTGAAGGGGTAATTCAAGGAAATAGAATGATAGAATGATCTCTCTGTTAATAACAAAAAGGCACGAGAATAAATTGCCTAGGTATTGAAGTATAAGACAACGTAGGTTAAGGCCAGCGCTTTCATTTGAAGGGCTTTCTAAGGCAACTACATTTACGGATCAGTACGAGGAACGGAATAAGCTGGTGAATTTATCCTCGATTCTTCTTGATCCTGAAACCACTATGATCCTGAAGTAAGAAATGAAATTTTCTGTTCAAAATGACAAAAATCTTCTACAAGACATTCTGGTAGAGATAATCAATATTTCCCTCAGGAGTCAAAACGGGAAATGGAGATGAAATAATCATAGAATCTTGACACATTATGAGTTAATGCACACCAACAGATTTGCGAGAATACATAGAACGCTAATAAGGAATTAATATTTGTTCCTTCAGGCGGTTAGAGGCGCGACAGTTGTAATGGCCAGGAAACAATATACCAAGGAAATGGAGTGTATACTGTAAGACAGGACTGCATATCATGTACTAAAGAATATTCCAACTATGAAGATCAATGGAACTTTACGGGACATGCTGAAAGATATGCATGGGAACATGGATATCAATGGATAGACAATAAATTCACTGATAAAAAAGGAGCATGACTACTAACAGCCTATGAGTTACCGAAGTTACGCTGAGTAGGAGAACAACTAAGGATGATAGTTAACAGCAAGTATGGAACAACATACAGATAAGCGAGGTTCATATGTCTGAAACTCAACAAGGTAAATGATAGATTATCAAACACAGTGAAGCAATCATGAATTTTCGAAGAGAATCAAAAACAGGACAGTGGAAGAGACAGAATTATTGGTAAGTTTTCATCTGCAATGTTAGTAGACAAACATTTATTGGAAAAAGGCGTTAACGGCCCTGTCAGATATTTTTGATCGAGAAGAGGATATCCTGGAAGCAGAGAGTATCAGAAAGGAGTTGTCTACACGACTCATCATTTTAACATTAAGGACAATAAGGTGCGTTCCTATAGGCTTTTCTGCCAATATGAACAAGTTGCGAAAACAAGATAATCGAAAGGAGACTGTGACAAAAATAGAGGCCACAACATCTTCGTCTTCGTTTCTACATTTGAATTGATTGTGTGCCAACCCACAGCTGTTGTGGTTCAGCCTTGAACCTAATCAAAGCTAGCAGTACCACAACATTTGTGAGTTGGCACACAAGAGACAAGGGCATGAGAGGTCATAGACTTGGTATTTAGGGATAGAAACAGGATAGACGCGGTGGGGCTAGAGCTCGTTGGCTGACAACAGGCCTGTATTACCATAGAGGTGGTCCATAAAGCAAAGGCATGACCATTAGAATTACGCATGGGCTATAGTCTCAAATTAGTCATCCAGACGCATGGTATGGG